CCCCATATTTGAGGAGGGGGCTCCTTTCAAAGTGGGTGTGTCTGGACATGCAAAATCGCTTATAACTCATAACCTGTTCAACATAGAAGCTTCAGATATCTTTTGTTGTTTAGCTCTGATGAGGGGCTATCCATCAGGTCCAACCCTCCCCCACCCCAAAAAAAGGAAGACCCCCACCCACCCAAACCACTACAATTTTGGGATGCACCTAGTAGCATGACATTTATTAGGAATAAAGACTTCTGAGTTCTGGTGCATTTGTGCGTGCGGGGGTCATTATGTTACCGCTATGCGGTATCTAGTATTTAAAGTAGGGGTGAGATTAGATGATGCTTAGATAAGATTGGTGGGGAAGATCAATGGAAAAGATGGGTGTTTTTCTACCTCCACAAATGTCTGAAAATCAGCCACTATCCTCTTTTGCTCTGCTGTGAGCACTACCTTATATCCAGTTAAAACAAGTTTGTATTGTTTCAAAGGTATTGTTCAAAGTATTTCAGTAAAATAACATTTAAACATTGAAGTTGTATTTTGACTTTATAACATCTGACAGTGTCACCTATTTTAAAAATTGGTATCTGCCAAAAACACAATCGGCAATTCAGACTTTTTAAAGATCAGAGATCGGCAAGAAAACTTGAATCTGTGCACCTCTAATTTAAAGGGGTCTTAGACGAGCGACCTTGTTGAAATTATTTTGGATTCAGACTTGAATTCAGAGCGGTTGAAATGATCAAACTGTCTTCAAATTCACCACACCACACTACATTCAACCACACCCTCCAAATTCACCCACATCTCCCCGATCCTAGCAGAACTTCACTGGCTTCCGGTTCACTTCAGAATCCGGTTCAAAATACTGTTCCTCACCTTCAGAGCTCTTCATGGCCAAGCCCCAGAAGACATTAAAAGTCTCATTTCACCTTACAACCCCAGACGAGACCTCCGCTCACAGGATCAACATCTCCTTATGGTTCCCCTCACTCGATTTAAGACCCGTGGTGACCGTGCCTTCTCCTCTGTGGACCCCAGGCTCTGGAATGAACCCCCTTTTAATCTGCGCTCCATTAATAACATTGTCTCTTTTAAGACACTCCTGAAAACTCACTTTTTCTCTCAAGCGTTTTAGCTAACCATTTCACCAATACTGCCAGCCTACCTCCATTATGAATGCTTGACAATCTGTGTTTTCTTTATTATTGAACTTAAGCCATATTTTCTCTCCCGCATTCATTATGTTTTTGTGTATTACTGTATTTTTGACCTGTATTGACCTTGTTTGATTTACAATTTTAGAAATTAATTCTTGATTTGATGTTTCAATTATCGTTGCTTATGTGTAATTGTGTTTTTCTGTTTCATTTTATTCTTTCCACTGTTTCTATACGGTTAATGATTGTACAGCACCTTGTGAATATATTTCTGTTAGAGGTGTCCCGATACCGATACCAGCATCAAGTACTCGTACTCGTACTCATAAAAGCCGGCCGATACTCTTAACCGATACCGCTTTTGTCCCCTTTTTTGTTCCTCCTGTGCTGCGCTGCAGCACAAAGGGTAAACAACAATCCATACCAGGCGGGGGCGCTAACGCACTGACACGTTATTTCCGACCGCACCCCGAATAACAGAAGAAGAACGATGAGAAGAAGTAACGTTGGCAGTTTGGAGATATTTTAAGATTGGCCACCAAACGAGGTGCTCTGCTAAACTGTCAGGTGGAGGAGCAAAAGTTGGATGTTTTAACAGCAGCAATTTGATTCAACATTTGAGGACAAGACATGACAAAGAATTCAAMGGGTTTGCTGCTGCTAGCAGTAGCCTTCATAAACAGCACAGTTGTTGCAGTAACTTCAATGCTG